AAGGATGGTAAGGTATCAAGCTGAAAAGCCATGATTGTCATGTTCTTCTGCAACGACTTATTCCACTTGGAATTCGTGGTTACTTGGATAAGGAAATTTGTACCACTTTAATTGAGCTGGAAAATTTTTTTCAACAACTTTGTGCAAAGACATTGATGGTAAAAGACTTGGATGCACTACAAGAAAACATAATACTTATTCTTTGTAAGTTAGAAAATATATTTGTACAAGCATTCTTCGATGTTATGGTGCATTTAGCAGTTCACTTGCCAAGGGAAGCTAAGATTGCTGGACCAGTGCAGTATTGATGGATGTACCCAGTGGAAAGGTGATATTTTAAATTGTTATTAGCTTCTCATTTGATATTGTTATTATCTCCTTATATGTTCTGTGATTTATTGAAGGTATCTCAGAACTTTAAAAGGATATGTTCGTAATCAATCTAGTCCAGAAGGTTCAATTGCAGAGGCCTATATTGTCAAAGAATGTCTTACTTTTTGCTCGATGTATCTTACTAGTATCGAAATAATTTTTAATCACGAGGAACGAAATGTAGATCGAGTTGAAAATGTGCATGGGTTAGCTGTGTTCACCCAAAATGTTCGTCCTTTTGGGCGAATTACAAGAGCAACTGAGGTCTCTCAACAGGAACGACAAATGGCTTATTGGTTTGTCCTACATAATAGTCTCGAACTGAATCCGTATCTAGAGTATGTGTATGTTAAATATACATATTTGTGAGCATTCTTATTGTACTTTGTAATTGTTTAAAATATTTTATATGTCAAATTTATGGTTTTATACGTAGGGAACACAAAAATATATTAGAGTTGGAAAGAAATGGTGACATCACTCGTCGCCACCAAGCAAAATTTCCCAAGTGGTTTGCAAAACGTGTAAGCTATACAAATTTAGATTATAAACATTATTTGCATTAGTTTGTAAAACCATAAAAACTTTCATATGCATGTGTGTAGATGAATCAATTACAAGGCGAAGGGTCACATGAAGCAACTGATGAATTGTGGTCACTAGCAAACGGTCCTGATGTGACAATAAAATTGTACTCTAGGGCAATATGCAATGGTGTCCGGTTCCACACTAAAGAGTGTGATAATCGTTGAAAAAGCCAAAACAGTGGGGTAGTTGTAGAAGGAGAACATAATAACAAAACAATTAACTTCTACAAAAACTTAAATAAGGTGTGGGAGATGAGTTACATATTTGGCCATAGTATTTTTTTGTTCCAATGTGAATGGTTCAACCTTGGTAGTGGGAAAACAGTTCAGACTGATGCTCATTTTACAAGCATTAATGTGAAAAGTAGATGGTATCAAAATGACCCTTTTGTCCTACCTGATCAGGTGAAACAAGTATTTTATGTTAATGATACAAAATTGGGTTGGGTTTGGCAAGCTGTGCAACACATACATCATCGAGGAATATGGGATGTTCCTGAGTTGGAAGATATAGGAGTTAGTGAAAATGAATCATATGTTCCAAGTGATGCATTCCAACAGGATGAATCAACAGAGGTTGCTCTTGTAGTAGTCAAAGATAATGAAATAGGTCAACTTCGTAGGACTAATCTTGATCCAGAAATCATTCCTCGAGATCGGATTGTCCATTGGGGAAGCAGAGAAGACAATAACATTGATGATTTCATATGTGATGACAATGATGAGGCACAAGTGGAGTATGTCGATTCAGAAGAAGATGATGATGTGGATTCCCATTTTGATTCTGATGAAGAGTTAGATATGTAGATGAATTATTAAGATATTTTCATGGTAATTAATAAATTATGACTTATATATAAAGTTCATACTTGGATATTGACGATATAACTTATATATTTCTTTATTTCAGGTGTCGTATATACATGGGACCAGGTCGCCGAGCCAGCACAATAGCTAGTAGGGTTGCATCATCTGATGCACCTACTAGGGGTGCATCATCGAGTGCACATGTTAAGGCTGTGTCATCGGATGCACCTACGTCACAGCCTCTTACAAGCACTGAGGCTAGCAATACAGGTTTGATGCATACTTTTTTTTCTAAACATTGTTTTCTTAATATGGTGGGCTAACATCTGTTATTATTGTTTGCGCAGGAGCTTCAACCACAAAGAAACGAGGTCAAGGACCATTTAAGGGAAAAAATGCTGAGCGTCTTCGTGCAGCTCACGACCTGCTAAATGTGTTGATTCCTGATGGAGTTGGCGTTCCAATTGGTGTACATTCATCGAAAGTGATGACAGAGATTGGCTCCCTGGCAAGGACGTTTGCCCGTATCAGAAATGTCCACAAATGGAAGCAAATAATCGAAGAGGAGAAGGTACCACTGATTGCACGTTTGTTGGTTAGTGGATATATTTGTTTGGTTTCCAAAATATATTTACTTGTGTAGAGTGTTACAACGTGTTGTAATTAATTTGTACATTTATATTTTGCTGTAGACAAAATTTAACATTCAAGACTATCGCGAAAAAGTTGGTGTTAGGAATTCCGTCAACAAAAAATTTGTTGTGAGGTACAGGGACCACCAATACTATATGCATATGCACTACAAGAAATTGGTTGAGTTTGGTGTTGACCCAAAGAGCAAGCCATATGGTGATGTGAGTCAGGAGGATTGAGAATACATAATTGAAACACTTTACAATGATCCAAAATTTCAGGTAACTTTTATAAGCTATGCGAATTAATATCCACTTTTTATTCTCAATTATGTACTAATTATATTCTTTGTATATAGGCAAAATCTAAGAAAAATGTAAAAAATCATGCCAAACTACCATACAACCACTCGATAAGTTTAAAGTCTTTTCAGTCTGCCCTATATGAAAGGGTGTTATACTTTAGCATTTGCTTTCTAAATTTTAATATATACTAAATTCATAAATTTGAATATAGATATTTTGATTAACTGCAACAGAGGGATCCTACGACTAATGAGTCACCCCACATTGTTGATTTTTTTTACGATTCTCATGTGAACAAGAAGGGTGAGTGGGTTTCTGATGAGGCAAAGTCAAGGAATGTAAGTATTTCAAATTGTAGAAAATTATTATTATTATTTTTTAAATTAATTTTTATGATACAGTCAATAATTGGGTTTAAATATATTAAATTGTAGGAGCAGATGAAATGATTGGCCACACAAAACTTAGAAGAGAGTGTAGAGCCATTGACACAGGATGAAATTGCATGCACTGTCCTTGGCACCCGACCTATATATAAGAAAGGATTTGGACATGGCCTAAAGCCGTCATCCTCTAGTCAGTCATTCAGATGCAGTGCTGAGTGTCGAGAATAAGCTGATATGATAAAAGAGTTGCAAGCAACTGTTGATTCTCTTCAGAACGAACATGACGAAAAAAAAGAGAAGCTGGGGAAGTTTGAAGACGCACAACAGAAGTTTGAAGACGCTCAACAAGAGATAATGCGACAACTTGTGCAGATGCAACTTCAACTACAACGTGCCCTACAGGGCAACTCAACTAATGTAGACATGCCACCCGAGTCTTAGTTATTATCTTTTTATTGTCATTTTAAGTTCAACACTTTAGTGTTTTTGAAAAATTTGATTAATAATTTATTAATGTATTTTTTTTCTTTTTTATAACAGATGAATTATGGACTTCTGCATTAAAGTGGCTGACGAATTATCTTTTTGTTATGTATTTAAATATTGTATGATTCCATCTTGTTTTGATGTGTGATTGTTGTTTTAATATGTGATTTGAGGGGTTTGCCTTTTAAGTGATTTTTTATGATAAGCAGTGTTATTTAAGGCGTAAAGCGAATCGAAGCGACCAAGGCTCCTAACACCTAGGCGAGAAGCAAGAAGCGAAGTGACACGCTTTATCGAAGTAAAGCGAACAGTTAAAAAATATATATATTTTAGTTTAATTACTTCTAAATAATCTAAGTTCTAATTTTATATATACTAAATATTTAAATGCAAGTAAAACCATAAAACATTTAAATTAAAACAAACACTAACAATATCTCAAATATTAATATCAGTCATAACTTAAACATTTAAATTCAAACAAATACTAACAATTGTATTCATTTTCATATTGACAGGGTAGGACAACAAAAGAAGCAGAATTAGGACAGCAGCAGAATCAGTAACAAAAAAAAAAGAAGCAGAATGAGGATAAAAAAAACAGAAGCAGCACAGGACAGCAAAACCGAAGCAGCAACAGAATCAACAAAAAAAAATAGAAACAGAATGAGCTAAAAAAAACAGAAGCACAATGATCATGACAGGAGCAGAATCAATTGTAAACAATTTCATATGTAATTATGTACTGAATAAAAAAAGCAGAATAGAGGCACATTTCACATGTACTAAAATAATTAAACATGGTATAAGCATAGACCACTTTTTTGTACCATTTGTATATACATAAGAAAAGGGAAAACTATAACCAAAACATATCAGAGACACTTATTTGTAGAAGACTCTATTATTTACCCTCATTCCTGATACTCCTGCTTCTTTTCTTTATCATAATTTTGTCATGCAGTCGCCTGACTCCCACATCCCACAAATATTCTAAATGAATTCAGCAACACAAGGAAAAAAAAAGAATGTGTTTTGTTCGAAACATTGTTTATTAGAAAAAAAAAAAAAAAACCAGCGATAGTCTAAAAAGAAAGTCATTAGTGATTAAAAAATAAAAGAGACTACTAACCTGTAATCAGGAAAAAAAAAAAGTAGAAGCAGAATTGTCTATTATAATAAAGCGTTCGCTTTTTCGCTTCTTTGTTTTTTCGCTTTTTCTCGCTTTTTTCTCGCTTCGCTCACGTTCCCTTCACCTGAGATCCTCCAGGCGAGATAAACTTGTCTAGCCTCGCTTCTCGCCTAGGCGAGCTTTTCAAAACACTGATGATAAGTGTTAATTGTTTGGCTATGTAGTGTAAGTGTTGAATTGTTTGAAGGAGTTTGAAAGACAGGATGTTAAATCCTGTGAAGATTTAAAGCACATGAAGCAAAACATCAAGAAACTCGAGATGACAAGGTATGGGAACAATTGTTCTCCACTTGTATTGAAACTAATGCATGCATGGGAACAAGTGCTTTTCAGAAGTGGGTTATAGCAGTTCTTCGATACCCTTTTGGTATTCTATTTTCATTTCATTCTGTACACAAACTAAATACTTTCATCTTTAGCAGTTCTTCGATACCCTTGTCTCCTGTTATGTTAATAAAAGTGTCCTACTTTATGGGGTTTTAGTATAACTTCGAGGGAAGATATGACTTGGTTCAGTTCATAAAGATTGTTTAGAAAGCAGGACTACACGTGAATCTTTGCATTGGGCCTTTTATTTGTGCCGAGTGGAATTTTGGGTAAGAATTTGGAGCCTGATTCAAGAAGGGGAATTTTTCTCTCTTTAATTTCTGGTGTTGAAATTTTTTATTCTAGGGGATTTCCTGTTTGGTTGAAGTATGTGCCTACCATCTGCTTCAGAACAGATAATGAACTTTTCAATGTCTCTCTCTCTCTCTCTCTCTCTCACTCAGTGTGTGTGTGTGTGTGTGTGTGTGTGTGATGGACATTGCAAGAAGCAAGAAAACATGACTAATTGTGAAGCCAACAAGATATATGTTTTTGATAAAGCCTTCACATAGTAATTTGCATAAACTTTTCTATAAATTTTTCCATGATTTTTTCAGTTAATTGTTGGTGTTGCAGATGGCAATCCAAGGGTTCACCCAAAAAAATTGTCCAAATGATGAAGAATGAAAAGTTATTTGAGTCTCAAGGTGGCCCTATCATCCTCTCCCTGATACAGCCTTTGGGTATTTGCTACTATCTTTGGTGTATTTATGCCATGAACCATCATTAAGGGTTTCAACACCAAAAAGTTCTTGGGCATATGCTGACTATGTTAATAGTTCTATTTCCATTAACATAAAAGGCAGAAAAACTGAAACACATTCATATTCATGCAAGTTAGGAGTTTACAATTTCGATCCAAGAATTGCTATAATATGTAAATTTATATTTGTGAAGATTGAGAATGAGTATGGGCCAAAAAGCAAGGCATACGGTGTAGCTGGTTATGTCTACATGACTTGGGCTGGAAAAATGGCTACTGAATTGGATACTGAGGTCCCATGGCTTATGTGCAAGGAGGACAATGCCCCAAATCCTGTGGTAAGCAATCTCATGCAATCAGCAGAGAAATCTTGCTTTAATTTAACTACATATCTATATAATAACAGACGAGAGATAGATTAAAGAACTGCCAGCTACTACTCTTGGATTAGCTGCATAAACTATTTTAGATGTTGTGAACAACTTTATTTGAAGTAAGAGTTTACCTGATGGAAGTCCTTGATATTTGTTGTGAAAAGTCTACAAGCTCTTTTTCAGAGTACATTTAGACCTTACCCATAATCTTCTACAGGGAATTACACAAGTAATGGTTTCCTTAAAGTGGCTTGCAATGGGGGCTTGAATCAGATGCGTGCTGCAGTTTGTATGTTATTTTTGCTCTCTTTTGTGAGGTTTTCTTATATTTACATTGACGTACCCTGTTTGGCATTTCAGATTTGTTACATGGTCATAGTTTCTCAGCCTTTAAATCTTACTTTGGTTGTTCCAGACCTGGATAAGAGATCCTTCTGGGCTAATCCTAGGTATAATTATTGTTAAATAGTGACTTTCTCTCGGCCTTTATTCACTTATTCACTTTCTCTCGGTGCTGAGCATATTTTGCATTGAATGTTACTGGGAATATTTGGATTGCAGTGCTTGATAATCATAATATCATATTGAAAATGTTGATTTAGAAGTTTCTAATTGTATGCTATCAAATGTTGGCCGCTCTTTTTAGGAATTTGTCAACACAGAGCTGTATGCACGTGTATCTGTTGCTGTACTGTAACTTTGTAATTAAAAGGATCGATGACATTGCACAAGACCATATATATCTTAAAAAATGTCATGGTTAGGAGACTATTATTTAAAACAATGTTCCAAGACCATATATATCTTGAAATTTTGTTCATGTTTCAATGTTTTAAAGAACTCTGCCTTAGGTATATGTGCTCTTTCATTTCAGTTTCATTCTTGTGCACCATTACTAAGAGTTGAAAACTTGAAAATTCTCTAGGGTCTTAATTTATTAACATTATCTTCTTCTTCTTCTTCTTCTTCTTATACACTTACTACTACTACAGTTAGTGATGTAATAATGGCAAATGCAATTACACTGGGGCCATGCCTTTGCATTTTTTTTTTATCAAAACTGTGAACTATTACAAGAACAGTTAAAATTCCTGTACATTACCTGCAGAATATCCTCCCAGCTCAGCTTCTGCCCCTCTGCTCACAGCCCAGTTCCTGTGCCATTGAATTGATGCTGCACAGAGTACAACATCCAGCACCCAAAAACCTTGGACAGCACCTGAGTCAAAATCAGACTACTAGGAATGACCAATCTCCACATTCAGCTCATATCCCCCACTGCATGCAACAAGAACATCTAAACAAAGTCATACCCAAACATGTCTACACCAGCATACTGCACAGACTAACACTGCACAGCATTACGACTTCATAGCACCATTCAAAAAATTTGCAAAAAATAAGTAAGTTGGCTTTAATCCTTCAAGAGGATCAAACCAGTTTTACTGCATTACTGGATCAGCTACTGAAACCCCTATCCCAATCTGAACAGACCAAAACAGTCAGTCCAGCTGCTCCAGGCACATGATCCATGCAAACCAGCTCCAGGCCAACAGTCAGCCCTCTCTAAACACCACAACCAAAACCACACTAACCAGCTGCTAGTCATACCCCAAAACACTGAAACAGAAGCAGTCTGTCAAACCCTTCTGTCCAACTACAAAAAATACTGCTAGACAGTCAGCATACTGCCCAGTATTTTAAGCCAAAAACATCCCTCAGCGGCACTAATTGATCCAGCATCATCATCCAATCCATTATATTACTCATATCAATATGCATCTTGTGTTTGGATGAGTTTCAGCTGAAGGAACTTGAGAAGTTAGGTCCCAAGAAAGGTGTTATCAGCCAGTCTGTCAAAGATGTTGCTCACAGTTTAGTGGATTGATGCTAACTTGAATTAAAATGATTGCATATAATGATGCAATTGACACACGAGCATGTTGTTGTCACCATTGCAAGGTAACATACAAACTTCTAAATCTTTCATAACCTTTGGGAATAATGATGAAGATAAAGGGTATTAATTTTACATCCCACAGAGGTATTATTAAATGTGAAGATGTTTCCCCATTCTAATCCTTTTTTTTTTCNGTCACCATTGCAAGGTAACATACAAACTTCTAAATCTTTCATAACCTTTGGGAATAATGATGAAGATAAAGGGTATTAATTTTACATCCCACAGAGGTATTATTAAATGTGAAGATGTTTCCCCATTCCAATCCTTTTTTTTTTTTCTTATTAAATTCTTCCCACCATATTCTTCAAATGAGATTCTTAGTTTAACATCACTATAGTGGTCATTTGAGTAACAGTCGATATGCTCAATATTTGTTAGCCTTGTCCTATGATGGCGAAGAATTTATGAACAAAAACTTCCTCGATATATTTCCTTCTCTCTCTGTCTCTCTGTCTCTCCGTCTCTCTGTCTTTTATATTCAATCCTAAAATCTCTTTATGAATGTGCATGCGTGCATGTATGTATATATGTTTGTGTGCCTCAGAGAGAGAGAGAGAAAGAGAGAGAGAGAGAGCATTGCACGTGCATATGCATGGGCAAGTGCGTACGTGCATTTTTACTGGTGTTAAGGCAAGCATTTTATGTGGAATAATTACTTCTATTTGTTTACAACGTTAAAAGAAGTTCAATTTGTTATGTGAAGCTTTGATATATTGAAGCAAACAATATCAAGTTGTAGGAATGAAAAGATTGTTGTTTTGGTTCTAATATTTTACCCTATGATCTTTGATAGCTTAAAATTTTTTGGGCCAATTGCTATTGTGGCACTCTTGGTGCTTATCCCAGTTACTGTATCAGAAGGTACATTGTTTTTTTTGAGAAGAGATTTGGTTTTTAGCGACATCGATAAGTTTTCAATATCAAATGTTCATCCTAAATCTATCAAGTAAGTTTTATGTCACTTTTTACCAGTATGATTTAAGTTTTAGGTCTGTCAATATCTAATTGACTCGAATATTACATCCATTGCTCTGATGTCTCAAATTAAGTGGAGAACTGGAGATTTTCCAGATAAAGAAGGGTTCGCTTTGCACCTCATGTTTAGATGTAAATTGTGAAGTTTTTATTTGAATTTTGAAGGATTTTATAGTTAGCTCAACTTAGCAAAGGCTTCACCCAATTCTTGTGGTCAAAAGTAATTAATAAAATTAGTGTCATTTTTACTATTTAGGTTTGCATGAAAACCACACAATGTTTGTATGTCATATTAACTCCTCATTTAAAAAAATAGAAAAAAATAAAAACTTGGTTGCTAACCAAATTCCTCAAAAGAAAATTTTGTGTACGTATTACTCCTTATGTCATCAAATCATTGAGGTCATTACAGATTTATTGATATTGTTATAATCATAGAATCATTGCATTTAACATAATAAGAGGAGACACACACGGAGAAAATATGACAATATCAGTAAACGATGAACTTAACCAAAACAAAGAATGGCATACAAAAGCATGAAAGAGGGTATAGAGGCCATATCCAGCTTTAACAGAAGAGCTCCAATGGTTGAATTTCAGGTTACATGCTCTACAAGGAATATGGCTTGTTCACATTTCAGGTTTCAGCTTTAACTTGTTCACATTTTGGACCTGTTACATGCTCTACAAGGAATATGGTAGAGTAGCATCCATGAGGTTGAACTTTTTGGCTTCACAAGGGAGGAGGGTAGAGCAATTTACTGTGAGTCGATTTTCAATTGTTTTATGACCATTCCAACTAGCTGTTAATTATTAAGAACAAGATCTAATTTTTCTTCATTCTGCCATTCATAGTGCGTTGTTAAGGCTTAGTTGTTCCACAAAGGTTAATTATAATTTCTTCGCTTTGTCAGAACCTTGTATTTTACATTTTTTTCTGCCTGACCAGTAGTATTTTACTTCTCTTTCTTTCGTTTTTCCACTTCCCTTTTCAGTCAAAATTATTTAATTGTAGAAAAGGCATAAAGAAAAGGCATGCAAAAAGTACACCAGATTACCAAAGTCACAATAGGGAAGAAAATCCACCTCACTCTGAAGATAGTCTGTATCCACGTGGAAAACTTAGGACTTCCCAAAGCTGGTGCATAAGGTGGAGGGACCTCTTGATCCATTTTTGGGTCAAGTTAGATCATATTATTAAAGTGAAACCTTAGTTGGTTAGTGGGCCTAGTTTTACAGCCTTTAGGATTTCTCGGTATGTTCATTTCTTATGGTTCTATTTGTTAATCCACCTAATAACTCAGGTCACACAGGAGAAGTTTGTGAAGAGAGCTTGGATCTCATATCATAAGATTTGGTTGGTTTATATGGTTTATGNTTTAGGATTTCTCGGTATGTTCATTTCTTATGGTTCTATTTGTTAATCCACCTAATAACTCAGGTCACACAGGAGAAGGTTGTGAAGAGAGCTTGGATCTCATATCATAAGATTTGGTTGGTTTATATGGTTTATGGCTTATTTATGTGCGCCAGTTGAGATGTCAAAAGGCCATAATATTGAAGTTTTTGGATGTTGAGAAGAACAAGATGCAGTAACCATATAAATTGGATAAAGTAGCCTCCCTCATAAGAAAGCAATTTTGGCATTGTTTTCTTTGAGAACTCCCTGATGTTTTTACTATCAATTTGTTAATCTACCTTTGAAATGTGATAGTAGTGGGAGTATTATATTTCTATCCTAGGATGGTTTGTAAACAAAAAAACCAAATGCAGTTAGAACAAGTAATACCCTGGGTTGTGTTTGTTGAAATTCATCAAGTATACTACTCATTGATATNGTATTATATTTCTATCCTAGGATGGTTTGTAAACAAAAAAACCAAATGCAGTTAGAACAAGTAAATGGGACCCAACACAAACAACTTTAAGTAGTTCATATGATGAGTTTGATATACAATGCGTGACTAGCTGGGGATGTTGAAAATGCAAATACCAAAGAAATTTGGGATAAAGGATCTGGACACAAGATTATCTGTTGGAGTTGAGGTTGGAATGTCTGGTTATGGTATCTTTGTTTGCTGGATAAAATATAGGTTATATCTGTTGAAGAAGACATGTGTGCGATACTTTCTGTTGCCAAATTCATTGCTGTTGTGTTCTTGGGTTTGTCTTCAAGAGTAGATGTGAGGATACCAATACCATAGAGTAATAGGAAAAATTAGTTGTGTTAGTCTCACACCTGTCCTGATATAACCCATGGTTCACTGAGATAGATGGTGCATGCATCCAGGAAGATACAGTAGGAAGGAGCCTACAAGATACTCAGAAACTTATATTATTTCTAGGAAAAGGCTTTTTGTCGTTTGAGAAAACTGGAGTTCATCTTGCAGATTGTTTAACACAGGAAGTTTTTGGTCCAACTTTGACACTAGTTTAGGCACACTGGGTATATATGACGTGTACATCGGCTCAATGGGATGTCAGGAATAAGGAATTCTGTAATGCTTATGATATTGTGGGAAATATGNTGTGTGTGTGTGTGTGTGTGATGGACATTGCAAGAAGCAAGAAAACATGACTAATTGTGAAGCCAACAAGATATATGTTTTTGATAAAGCCTTCACATAGTAATTTGCATANGAATCTTTGCATTGGGCCTTTTATTTGTGCCGAGTGGAATTTTGGGTAAGAATTTGGAGCCTGATTCAAGAAGGGGAATTTTTCTCTCTTTAATTTCTGGTGTTGAAATTTTTTATTCTAGGGGATTTCCTGTTTGGTTGAAGTATGTGCCTACCATCTGCTTCAGAACAGATAATGAACTTTTCAATGTCTCTCTCTCTCTCTCTCTCTCTCACTCAGTGTGTGTGTGTGTGTGTGTGTGTGTGTGATGGACATTGCAAGAAGCAAGAAAACATGACTAATTGTGAAGCCAACAAGATATATGTTTTTGATAAAGCCTTCACATAGTAATTTGCATAAACTTTTCTATAAATTTTTCCATGATTTTTTCAGTTAATTGTTGGTGTTGCAGATGGCAATCCAAGNTAAACTTTTCCATGATTTTTTCGGTTAATTGTTGGTGTTGCATGGTGTTGCAGATGGCAATCCAAGGGTTCACCCAAAAAAATTGTCCAAATGATGAAGAATGAAAAGTTATTTGAGTCTCAAGGTGGCCCTATCATCCTCTCCCTGATACAGCCTTTGGGTATTTGCTACTATCTTTGGTGTATTTATGCCATGAACCATCATTAAGGGTTTCAACACCAAAAAGTTCTTGGGCATATGCTGACTATGTTAATAGTTCTATTTCCATTAACATAAAAGGCAGAAAAACTGAAACACATTCATATTCATGCAAGTTAGGAGTTTACAATTTCGATCCAAGAATTGCTATAATATGTAAATTTATATTTGTGAAGATTGAGAATGAGTATGGGCCAAAAAGCAAGGCATACGGTGTAGCTGGTTATGTCTACATGACTTGGGCTGGAAAAATGGCTACTGAATTGGATACTGAGGTCCCATGGCTTATGTGCAAGGAGGACGATGCCCCAAATCCTGTGGTAAGCAATCTCACGCAATCAACAGAGAAATCTTGCTTTAATTTAACTACATATCTATATAATAACAGACGAGAGATAGATTAAAGAACTGCCAGCTACTACTCTTGGATTAGCTGCATAAACTATTTTAGATGTTGTGAACAACTTTATTTGAAGTAAGAGTTTACCTGATGGAAGTCCTTGATATTTGTTGTGAAAAGTCTACAAGCTCTTTTTCAGAGTACATTTAGACCTTACCCATAATCTTCTACAGGGAATTACACAAGTAATGGTTTCCTTAAAGTGGCTTGCAATGGGGGCTTGAATCAGATGCGTGCTGCAGTTTGTATGTTATTTTTGCTCTCTTTTGTGAGGTTTTCTTATATTTACATTGACGTACCCTGTTTGGCATTTCAGATTTGTTACATGGTCATAGTTTCTCAGCCTTTAAATCTTACTTTGGTTGTTCCAGACCTGGATAAGAGATCCTTCTGGGCTAATCCTAGGTATAATTATTGTTAAATAGTGACTTTCTCTCGGCCTTTATTCACTTATTCACTTTCTCTCGGTGCTGAGCATATTTTGCATTGAATGTTACTGGGAATATTTGGATTGCAGTGCTTGATAATCATAATATCATATTGAAAATGTTGATTTAGAAGTTTCTAATTGTATGCTATCAAATGTTGGCCGCTCTTTTTAGGAATTTGTCAACACAGAGCTGTATGCATGTGCATCTGTTGCTGTACTGTAACTTTGNAGGAATTTGTCAACACAGAGCTGTATGCACGTGTATCTGTTGCTGTACTGTAACTTTGTAATTAAAAGGATCGATGACATTGCACAAGACCATATATATCTTAAAAAATGTCATGGTTAGGAGACTATTATTTAAAACAATGTTCCAAGACCATATATATCTTGAAATTTTGTTCATGTTTCAATGTTTTAAAGAACTCTGCCTTAGGTATATGTGCTCTTTCATTTCAGTTTCATTCTTGTGCACCATTACTAAGAGTTGAAAACTTGAAAATTCTCTAGGGTCTTAATTTATTAACATTATCTTCTTCTTCTTCTTCTTCTTCTTATACACTTACTACTACTACAGTTAGTGATGTAATAATGGCAAATGCAATTACACTGGGGCCATGCCTTTGCATTTTTTTTTTATCAAAACTGTGAACTATTACAAGAACAGTTAAAATTCCTGTACATTACCTGCAGAATATCCTCCCAGCTCAGCTTCTGCCCCTCTGCTCACAGCCCAGTTCCTGTGCCATTGAATTGATGCTGCACAGAGTACAACATCCAGCACCCAAAAACCTTGGACAACACCTGAGTCAAAATCAGACTACTAGGAATGACGAATCTCCACATTCAGCTCATATTCCCCACTGCATGCAACAAGAACATCTAAACAAAGTCATACCCAAACATGTCTACACCAGCATACTGCACAGACTAACACTGCACATCATTACGACTTCATAGCACCATTCAAAAAATTTGCAAAAAATAAGTAAGTTGGCTTTAATCCTTCAAGAGGATCAAACCAATTTTACTGCATTACTGGATCAGCTACTGAAACCCCTATCCCAATCTGAACAGACCAAAACAGTCAGTCCAGCTGCTCCAGGCACATGATCCATGCAAACCAGCTCCAGGCCAACAGTCAGCCCTCTCTAAACACCACAACCAAAACCACACTAACCAGCTGCTAGTCATACCCCAAAACACTGAAACAGAAGCAGTCTGTCAAACCCTTCTGTCCAACTACAAAAAATACTGCTAGACAGTCAGCATACTGCCCAGTATTTTAAGCCAAAAACATCCCTCAGCGGCACTAATTGATCCAGCATCATCATCCAATCCATTATATTACTCATATCAATATGCATCTTGTGTTTGGATGAGTTTCAGCTGAAGGAACTTGAGAAGTTAGGTCCCAAGAAAGGTGTTATCAGCCAGTCTGTCAAAGATGTTGCTCACAGTTTAGTGGATTGATGCTAACTTGAATTAAAATGATTGCATATAATGATGCAATTGACACACGAGCATGTTGTTGTCACCATTGCAAGGTAACATACAAACTTCTAAATCTTTCATAACCTTTGGGAATAATGATGAAGATAAAGGGTATTAATTTTACATCCCACAGAGGTATTATTAAATGTGAAGATGTTTCCCCATTCCAATCCTTTTTTTTTTCTTATTAAATTCTTCCCACCATATTCTTCAAATGAGATTCTTAGTTTA